AGAGGGAAATAGCATTGTGATGAGACTCCATTTTGAATCCTGTGTTATTTTCTTAAAGGTAACTTTTGGTGAGCAGAAGATATTAATTTTGATGAAGTCTAATTTTTTTTCTTAAATGTTTAGTGATTTTTACATGCTGACTAAGATATCTTTGCTTACTCTAAAGTCAGGGAAAAATATAATAATAATAATAATAATCCTGATAGACATGTCCATAAACTCTTTCAATATTGCAACCCGAGACTTGATTTTTTTCTTCAATTCTTTCAGCTTGAGAAATGCCAAGCATGGTCTTCCCTTTAATTTTTCTAGCTCCAGGTCTCTGCATATTTTATTTCAATACTTTACTTTGTCTTCTCAAACTGCCCTTTGAAATCTTCACTTGTCACTCATAGTGGACAAGTTCCAGACTAAGACACACTAGAAAGAAAAGCCTGATTATCTACTTCTGAACATTAGGCAATAAAAATTTTATTGATCACAACAGAACATTATATGAGTCACTTGCTTTGGACATGTCATCAGGAGGGATCAATCACTGAAGGAGGACATCATGTTTGGTGAAGTAGAGGGCCACTGAGGGTGAAAGATCCTAGTGAGATGGATTGGCACAGTAGCCACAATGACGGACTAGAACATGCCAGCAATTTTGAGGATAACAAGACTGAATAATGTGTCGTTCTGTTGTAAGTGAAAATATCTTCACTTGAAATCTTCTGTTTAGCTCTTTCATTTCATCATTTCTTCCATTCACTTTAGCTACTCTCCATTCCAGAACAAGTTTCACAGTCTCTTCTTACATCCATTTTGGTCTTTTCTATCTGTCTTGTCTTTTTAATAACTTTTTGCTTTCTTTATGTATGATATTCTTGATGTTAGTGCCTAAGGCATTTGACTGCTAACCAGAAGGCTGGCAATTCAAACCCACCAGCCACTCTTTGGAAGGAAGGCTGGGCAGTTTACTTCTATAATGATACCATCTCGGAAACCCAAATAGGGGTCACTATGAGTCGAAATTGACTCAACAGCAGTGAGGTTTTTTTTTTTT